CACCGCGTCCCCCCACCCACCCGCGGCCCCGGACATCAACGCCTCGGAGATGAGATGCCACCTGGCACAGCACCGCTTGTCCAGTCAGAGTTCAAGTCTGCTTTATTGTTCTCCCTTTTCCATGAATGGATTATGTGCGCACGGGTGTCAGTAAGCCCTTCTGATTTCACTGAGGTTTATTCTAAGTTTCTCTTTTGTGGGTTGCTATTTGTGTAAGTCGTGAAAAATACCCAAGAGAAGCGCAGGAGGGCGGGAATGCGATTTCGGAATGCTAGGCAGATTGGAATTTGCTCCCGCCCTGCGTTCCGCGTTTCGTTTCGCCTGTCGCTCGTTTTTCTTGTAAAATAAAGCGCGTTTGCCCGCTTTCGGGCCAATAATGTACACTGTAAGGTTTGTTCTTCTCTTTCTCAGCGGAATAAGCTCAGCCCTCGCCTTTCAGGGAGGAAGTGTGTGTGAGCGAGAGGGATGCTGTTGTTTTATCGCCATCGCTGTTGTTTGCTGACGCTGTTTTGTTGGTTTTTTGTTGCAGATGCCGGGCTCCCCTCCAGCGGCGGCGGACCTGCTCCCCTAGGGCCCCCCTTGCCGCGGCCCGCCGGTGTCGCCAGCTCGTCCCCGCCACGCCCAGCCACGCCCCCCGGGTTATTTTTTGCGACGAAAAGCCGCTAAAACGCAACAGCAGCTGTAGCGGCCGAGATCTCGCCAGGCTACTAATCTCGCTCGGGGCGCTGCTCGGCGCGGCTGCCCGACGCCCACCGGTCTGGGCGGGCCAGCGCAGCCAGCGCGGCCAGCGCAGCTGTCGCCGTCCCTCGGGGTGGCCGCTCGGGCCGAGGCTAGGGCCGCTCGCGCGCGCACCGGGGTGAGCGACGCGTCCCCGCCCAGTCGCCCGCCCTCCCGCGCGTGGTCCGCATACTGTGCACCGTGCCGAGCCGTTGCCGACGCGCCGTCGCCGTTCGCCGTCGTGGCGCTCCCTCCCCCCTCGTCACCGGGCTGATGGCGTGGCGGCGCGCCGGCGCCTCGCCGCGAGGACGACGCCACCCCCGCCGCCGCCCCTGCCGCCGCCCCGCCTCGTCCCCGCTGGAATAACTGCGGCGGTATGGGATGTCGGCGCACGACAGGAACAACCTGGACCAGCCGGACGCAGTGGCGCCCACGCTGCCCACCCCGGCCGCCGTCGCCGAGGGCCTGACGCTGGCCGTGGCGGCCACGGCGTCCTCGCTGCTCCAGCGGCTCAACGCCTCGCACGCCAACGACAGCGCGGCCACGGCCGTGGCCCTGGACGATGACGGCGACGAGGAGTGGAGTGACACCCTGGGCCTCGTCGTCAAGGTGGCCCTCATGGGCTTCATCATCTTGGCCGCCATCCTCGGCAACCTGCTCGTCATTGTGTCCGTCATGCGGCACCGCAAGCTCAGAGTCATCACCAACTACTTTGTCGTGTCGCTCGCGTTCGCCGACATGCTGGTCGCCATGGTGGCCATGACGTTCAACATGAGTGTGCAGGTCAGTGCCGCTAAGGTGTCATCCCCTCCTTTCTTCGCAGCAACCCTGCGGCGGTACGGGGGTTGCGCTCGGCTTAGAAGTTCCCTCATCAGCACTGTTTACTCGTACCGCCTGCGTTCCTCCCCCCC